TAGCTCTCATAGAATTTTGCAATAGACGTGGACCATGCTGTATATGTCAGGGGCAGCATTAACAAATTGACGAATACGACGCATTATGAAGGAACACTGCACAGTCGTAAGAAAACTCAAAATTAGAAGTTTTAAAAACCGAAGGAAACGCTTCCTTTAAGAATAAAATTTAAAGAAGGCGTAATTTGCTATCAAATAAGTACAGGAAAAGATTTTTTCGTGTATGCTTTCCGTAAGATATATTTGAATTTATAAAGGCAGTCAAAATCAATGATACAAATGCATACTCATTAAGTAGCCATTTTTTACAGAATCAACTTTTTCGCAGCGGTCAGACATAAGCTTATCACAGAGTCGGCATCCTAGCGTAACTGAAAGTAATTGAAATTAGACTGCATGATAAACATTATTGCAACCCTACTCAGTGTTGGTTTGCGATTGCTTATAGGTCTTTTTCAAATTGCGGAATGTTGCTTGCAGCACTGTACTTTAATTTATTAGGGCAGTGGAAGTCAATAAGAAAAAGGCATACTGCTTATGTAGTCACTTTTTACGGAATATACTCCCTGCTGCTGGTCAAAAAGCAGCTCGTTCAAAAGTGGGCATCCTGAGATGACTGCAATTTCAAAAGACAATTCAGTTGACCCAGTTGTGAAAAATTCGCGGCTTCAGTGGGAGTCGAACCCACACAGCAGGAGAGGCTTTTGCGCAGCCAACGCTCTACCATTGAGCCAGGAGGCTCACCATGAACCGTGAATTTAATCACAGTTGGGTCGATTTACCCGCACAACCTATTGTTCGTATATAATCCACCATTGCGGATACAGTAAGCTGACTGCCTAGGCAAAATTGCCTAAGTAATGCTAGTCAATGTTAAAATCATACTTGAATCGAGAGCACATTTCTGAATATCGGCTGACATTTGATGAGATAGGTAATTTGGTAACATGGCGACCCCAACCTTCAGGGCGCCAAACTACACTGGCAGATATGCTCGACAGCCCCGCCCCGCTCTGTCCCCACTTCCTGTGTTCATAGGGTTCTTTTTTTCCTGCTGTGCACAGGTCCTCGAGGTGTCCAGACACCTGTTGGCGCTGTACGATCT